TGCGCGCATTGTACACTTCATGTTGTTGCTCCGCTTGTCCACAAAGTCAAGCGCCTTCAGGTACCGGGTCTGCTGCGCACCCATGTTCTTGCGCGTCTTGTTGTCGTGTTCCTGCAGCTCCTTCTCCTTCTTTTCAAGCGATTGCTTGGCTACCTTAAGTGCTTCCCCGTCCTCCATGTCCATGAGCATGTGCTCGCGCAGCGTGGTGTCGTACTCCTCCGCGCGCTTCAAGGCGACCAATCTATTCTCCCCTGCCTTGCTGAAGGCCGCGAATATGCCCCCGTTATTCTTGGTGCCGTCCACCGAGGCCTTCGACGCCTCTCTGGGCCGCTCGAGGACCTTCTTGTTTTTCTAGTTGCGCGACCTCTTCGGCTGGTTGCCTTGCTCCTCCGCGTCGATGATCGCCTTGGCCGCCTCGATTTGCCCCGTGGATTGAGCAGTCCATGCTAGGCCCCATGCGCGCTGCTTCTGATCACGGCGCACTTGTTCTTGTGTGATGTACTTCTCCCCGCCATGGCGGAACTTTTCCTCGTCGCGCCACTCGGACCATTTCCCGCGCCCAATGGATAATTCGCAGTTGACGCGAACCCTCTTCCACTGGCTTCCTCTTCCTCCTTGGTCTTGTTCACGTCCTGGCTCGTTCCTGGTGCGCTCCCTGTGGCTCTCCGTCATCTTGCAGTGCCCGAGCCGCCCGCCGCGTCGGCCGCATGGCCAAAGCTTGTGCTGCTGGTGGAGGCCATGCGCAGCCCTCTGCGTCCTGCACTCCGAGATGCCCTCGCTAGTGCAAGTTCGCACAAAGGCGGTGGTTGAACCAGATGGACTGTGAGAACTGGTGGTGGGCAACGGGGGTCTGTCTCCTCTCTGAAATCCCGCGTTGTGTCCCATCGTCCCCAAAGATACTTCATAACATTCTGGAGTCGGGGCCCGATCCTGACACCCCGCTGATGTCCGTGACCCATCGCTAAATTTAGGTTGTCTGTTTGATGCCCGTAAGGTATGCAGGAGCCCAAACACGCCGCATCGCCACAACTGTAAATGGCCACAAGGAGATGGAAGGGCAAGTAGGGCAATGCTGGGATGTCGTGCCGTCACAAGTTATGGCGTAGGCAAGTAACTGTTGGGATGGGAGGGCTGGCTGCCGCCTGGGCGACCTCGCGCCAGGGCGTGCCTTCGCAACTCTGCTTCCCATTCCGCCCGGAATTTGAGGGCCAGTTGGTAGCGCCGGCCGTTCGGGGACATGTGTCTAAGTTTGGCGAGGCGCTCAACGTCCATGCTGGTTGGCTCCGCGATCTTTTCCTCATCGGAGAGATGCCGTCTGGCTTGTCCGCTGTTGGGCACTCCTGAGAGGCCCGCCTGCGCTGGGTGGGGCCTCCTGAGGGGCGGCGTCCTCAGAACTCGGTTCGGTCGCCCTCGCAAAAGGGGGTCGTGAAAATGCTTGTCCGCGCCAGTCGCGGTCGGGCACGAGGTGCTGGGGTTCTTGCGCTCCGAGATGCCCATCGCTAGTGCTGCCGCCCCCTCTTCTCCCTGCGGCGCCGACGCTGGAGTTCGCGTTCCACCGCCCTCTCCAAGTCCGTCTTGGGCGCCGCCGAAAAACGATCAGCATCGCCGCTGCTTTCTTCAAGTTGTGGCCCGAGAACTTGTCCAGCTTCTCCCGAATATCCTCGTTCGTGCCTTTCGGGGGCGACGCTCTGAAGTTGGGGGCCGTGTTGATGCTGATCTGGATCTTGCCCATGCCCTCCATCCAGAACTGCTTGTCCTCGTTCGGGTTCTTGTGCTTGCTGTTGCGAACTTTGTGGCTCTCGCTGGCCCTGCGCAGCTTGATCGTCTCGGTGGCCGCGGCCTGGCAGTAGATGTTGCTGCCGCCCACCGGCGCCGCGGAGTTGTTGAGCGTGTCGATCGCCCAGACCATGGGTGCTCCCACCGATGTAGCGTCCTCTTTCTGCCAGTCCGTCACGGTCTCTGATGCGCCTTCTATGGGCGCAATTCCCGCGTGGATGCCCGGCGGTCCGAGTGAATGCCCCTTGCCCCGCCCCCTGGCCAGGTTCCCGTGGCAGCGGCCCGCGGCTGAGGCCTTCCGAAACGCCCGCGTGCAGACTAGGGCGAAGTAGAGTCCGTGGTGGTTCATCTCGCGCATCTCTGCCGCGGATCGGAAGGCTGGGCGCTGGGGTCCGCTCGTGGCTCCTCTGAGGTCGGGCTCCTCGTAGTCGTCCGTTGACTGGGGTTGCTGGCGGGGGGGCCTGCGGCCTCCTCCCTCGCCCTTGCCGCCCCATCTCGCTGCCTCGGCCGCGGCCGAACGCGCGCCCCCTGCCGGCGTGGCGCTGGCCGGCCCCGGTGCCCACTGGTCCTTGCCCTCTCCCTTGTCGCCCTGGTGCTTCGGCTCGCCCTCTATCTCTGCGTCGGGTCCGCGTTTTTTTTTTTTTTTTTTTTTTTTTTTTTTTGTTTTTTTTTTTTTTTTTTTTTTTTTTTTTTTTTTTTTTTTTTTTTTTTTTGTTTTTTTTTT